CATGTGCTCGCATGTCTCTCATGCTTGTGGACTGTCCCCCCTTATTTTTGAGACTGCTTGGACCTGTGCGGGAACCAGCGCTGTATGGGCTTCTCTAGTAATACCACCGGCAGCAACAGTGAGATCCGTAATACTGGCAATTTGTCTTCAGACATGACTTCTGTTGCACCCGGCGTATCTGCCCCTTACCCCGAGACAGCCATGAAATAGTACCCAACGGATGTGCAGGGCAGCGAAATGAGGCGAACCTGCAGCAGCCGATCGCTTACGCAGACAGATCGCTTGTTGGTCTGCCGGTAGTAGACACCCCGATTCGGTCCCGACTGCAGGTACGGCTACCAAGGTGGTAGTGGCATATCGGCGCTCGGTACTCCGTGGCAGCAGTGCGGTAGCACCATCCCAAGTCTCCGAGGCTGGCCATGGCGGGGCAGACGCACGCTGTACAAGTAGTAGAGCGCTCTTGCGGTAGGTATTCGTGGCGGTGACGGCGGTTCTGCAGATGCCTCACGACGGATTGGGTGAAGTTATGGGCAAGGGAGGGGGCCAGCTGGGAGTGCAATGCAGGGACCACTGACCGCCACCACGAGAGACCCATCGCCAGTGGTGTGTATCTGGTCAATGCTTTGGGTCGCAGCTTGCACCGACATGTCGTCTGGGTCACTGGACCGCGCTAGCTGCAGGCCAATGTCCCGGCGAGATGGAAAATTACCAGCTAGCCGGGTCCCAAGGGCTGGGGCGGACATGGGTGTCGGATGTAAGGGGAAACACAAGAACGCGGGTTGCCTGGCCAGGCTGTTGTCTGAGCAGCAGAAGAGTGCTCTTGACTTTGGCTCCTTTCTCGTGTTAGTGATGGCTGGTTGGTTTACGAGATGCTAGTTTCGAGCCGGAGCTTGAGCTATCACATCTAGCCCCGAATCGCGATAGTGGCGTCGGCGAAGAGCGCCGGAGGGGCGTGCTGTGTGAAGCCATCCGGTGACCTGCGTGTACGAGTACTGGAGCAGAGACTTTGTCATTTTTCGGTATTGGCAGATCCTGGTCCATCCTTGGAATCTGACCAGTCCTTTTTTTCTCCCTTGACTGTTTGTCGGGCCATGAATCGGTTAGGCAAAGCAATTCGAGCAGGGGACACGACGGCGCGGCAGTCGCAACACCATATCCCGAGATGACTTTCTCCTTCTATCAGACTCCATGGATCAGCAGGGAGGGAGACGAAGATCTCGATGCAGCAAAAAGCAAATCCAGAGAAGCAGAATCGGAGATGTACTAGCCGACAACGGGGGAATCGGGAATTCAACGTAGCTGTCCCGAAGGTGCGCTGGCAAGGCACTGGTAGTAAAACGGGGTCGAGGTTCGACACAAGACGCAAAAGGAATCGAGAGAGATTGGCTTTGTGCTGCAAGCCGCCGAGAGGAAGAATATTGGCTTGCAATAAGTTGAGAGAATCTTGGGAGTCATAAATTGATAGATTAATTGACTGATTGTGTGAGTGGAGGAGAGAATCGAAGAGAGAAAGGGGCAACGTTTGTCCGTGAGCAAGCTGCAAAACTCGAACCTAAGAGAAGCGTGAAAAGAGAAAGGGAAGGTACTGCTTGCGAATGGGCACCTGTGACGCGTGCCTGCCACGCCTTGAATCTCTGTGAATGTTGAAGAATCCTCTGCCTGAGGCACCAGACGTGAGATGCTGTTACCTGATACTGAGTGGCCGCATAAGACAACAACTGTATACCTTATATCTATTATCATCAGGATCAAATCCATCTCTATTCTTAGGCAGACCAGCCCTGACATGCCATTCTCTGGGAGCATTTTGCAGCTTACTTGTCTTGCCTCATATCATCTCCTATCCTTTCCCTTTGCTCACCTTGTCTGCGGTCAGCGCCTGAGCCAAAGTTCCCGCCTCATCCTCTACCTATGATGGGTGGTTCGGATGGTGCATTACCGCCTCTGCGTGCTGCGTCAGAGGACGTCCACTGTGAGGATAGTAGTTCAACAAAGAGCGGCCATTTCGCTCCTCTAGCCGACAGCGATGAGAGTCCGACAAACAGCGGCGCTGCCACTCCGCCAAGCAGCCACGACGACGCTCTGGCAGACGGCCACGATGGCAATTTGAGCGACGGCGGCCTTGATTCCCAAACGGCATCCTACATAGCCTCCACGCTGCAGAGGTTCGAAGAACAAACTGCCTCACAACCGGTCACGGATGATGCACCGTGCTTCACACAAGGGTCGAGTATGCAGTCTTCCAACTACTGGCGGCGTTGTCTTGTTTACGCTTCTTCACCCTTGCCTACCGCCAACTGGTTGCGCATTGAGAGCCTACTACGAGATTGGGGCCAGACTCTGTGCAGATTCAAGGAGGAGTTCTGGCACATAAGTCACCGCGCTGACCTTTCCCACATCTACGCCGGAGCCTTTGTCCGTTGGAGGCCAGCACTGGTCAGCACAGCCAGGGGAGCCAAGAGTGTCAATGGAGCGGTCATATCGCAGTTCTCTACTGCCCCTGAGCAACGAAGACGGGGGTATGGTACACGATTCCTGAAGCTCCTGGCCGAGGAGATGGACAGGAGAAAGGGCAGAGACCGCATTGAGTTCAGCGTCGTGTTTGGCGGCCCCAACACGAACTTCCTCAAGCAGCGCGGCTGGAAGCCTCTCCCTGCCAAGCAGCTCCGAATCACGATGGGGAACTTGCAGCTCGACGACCGGCTCAAGGGATACATGCGACGGCACCTCGGCGAATGTGAGGCCGATTTTGGGCTCGTGGCATGTGACAAACTGGTTCCCGACTTGTTGGTGGATGACGGTTCGATGTCCATGATGGCGATGAGCGCTATCAAGAGTCCAACCACCCATGCGCAATTCCGGCTGGTACCGCAGGTGAAGGCCTGGCACCTTGCCCGCCAGTCCTTGACAATGTCGACATATTGGGGAATAATAGAATTATGGGGCCCGCCCTGGAGCTCAGTTCCCATGCACGCAGGAGTCGTCTACAAGGACCCGAAGACGGAGACAATGGTCGAGGCGTGGTGGGTACACGATCTTGCGCTGCAGAGACTGTACATTGCCAAGCTGTCTGTGAAGCGCGGCGAGGGGTTAGAGATTCCGATCCGGCTGGTGCTTCGAGCGGCTGTGCAGGAGGCCATGCGGTTCAAGTTGAGAGAGATTGTTGCGTGGGACCCGATCCCGCGGCTCGTGGCCCAGGCGGAGAGGGTGGTCAAGGACTTGGGCCAGGGCATGACGGTGACGCTAGAGAATCG